TCTGTTGGAGGTACTTGCCTAAATCATTTATTACTGTGATAGTTGCCAAATGTAATGTTACTAATTTTATATATTATAATAATATTTTCTAGATTTATTTGTTGCGATAGGGTAAAGCTTGCTTTCTTTATCAGTATGGACTCAAGGATAACATGGATCAAGCATTAATTTCCCCAAAGGATTATACTTTGTTATTATTTATTTTGGTGTTCAAATTGTCCCAGACCTGGCCAATAGGAGTTCTTCAAGATGACTCCTGGGAAATCAGTGTCTGGGTGCTAGATGTGCTCATTGCTACTAGGATGTCATTGCTTCTAGGCCCTCTCTGTGGATAGAGATAGCATATATGTGTATGCAGTCTCTGTCACACACATACCACATGTGTGTATATATAAGTAGATACATACATCATACATATATATATACATACATCTCTGTTTATCTCATCTTCAAAAGTGGCATTGACAGTGGTTTTTGCTGATGTCTTTGAAGATAAGTCCCTGTAAATCTGCTTTTTGTTTTTTTAGGCTAACCCAGCAAAGCATCTTGAGCTGTGCTACTCTCTTGGGTTCCTGCCAGTGAGTCTGCCCATTTTTTAACCACCTCCACAAATACCATAATCCTTCAGTTTTTTTCCAAGCCAGATTCCAGGAATAATCCTGTTTGTAGAAACTGGACTTGCCACTAAAACAGAAGGAGGCTAATAAGTGATCTCATTTCTTGCTGCTCAATCGTGAAACTTTCTTTTTTAAGAGATAAAAGTTTTAGGAAGGCCTGATGCAGTGGCTCAATGCCTGTAATCCCAGCACTTTGAGAGGCCAAGGTGGGCGGATCACAAGGTCAAGAGATCAAGGCCATCCTGATCTTAGGTGAAACCCTGTCTCTACTAAAAATACAAAAATTAGCTGGCGGTGGTGGCTCATGCTTGTATTCCCAGCTACTCGGGAGGCTGAGGCAGGAGAATCGCTTGAACCCGGGAGGTGGAGTTTGCAGTGAGCCGAGATCGCGCCACTACACTCTAGTCTGGCGACAGAGCAAGGCTCTGTTTCAAAAAAAAATAAAAAAGTTTTGGGGAATAATTATAGTGAAAAAGACAAAAGAGCATCCCAAATTATTCTGAATCTGTATTTAAAGCCCTGGCCTTTTTTCGTAGGTCATATAAAGAATGGTTGTAGGTTGGTGAGGTGAGTCTTTCACTACCTTATTTGCTTTTCTGGTTATGTAACTCCAGACATACTTGGGGGAAAAATAGCAGCAGGGAGCACAGGGCTATATCCAGATTGGCATGTCAGGGAAAGATATCTGAGATAACTGAAGTCATATTTTCTATTACCCATTTTTTGGATTTTTTGAAAGAGGCCTAGAAGTAAACAGTTAGTGATGTTAAACATCTTTTCATGTACTTATTGGCCATTGGCAGTCTTGGCTGTTGGAGAAATGTTTTTACTTTCTGGAGGTATTTTTTATTGTTTTTTTGCTTTTGAGGCAGAGTCTCCCTCTGTTAACTCAGGCTGGAGTGCAGTGGCGTAATCACGGCTCACTGCAGCCTCGACCTCCCAGGCTCAGGCAGTCCTCCCTCCTCAGCCCCCCAAGTGGCTGAGACTATAGACACATGCCACCACGCCCGGCTAATGTTTGTATTTTTTGTAGAAATGGTTTTTTTGACTTTTTTTTGCCGTCTTGCCCAGGTCTCAAACTCCTGAGCTCAGGCATTCTGCCCACCTCAGCCCCCCAAAGTGCTAGGATTACAGGCATGAGCCACTGTGCCTGGCCACATCTTGATTTTCTATACTTGACTCTTACCTAATGTTCAAACAGGGACTAGTGAAGAAGACTTGTCTTTGCTCCATGATGCCTGAGGCCTCAGCTGGAAAACACAAAGGCTAGAGCCTGAATTAATCTGAAGATCCAGTCACTCAAATGTCTTGGGTTGATTCTGGCTGTTGGATGGGGCGCTTATTTTCTCTCCACATAGGTCTTTTCACATATCTGTGTAGGCTACTTTGGGTTTCCACATAGCATGAGGAAGGAAGGAGAATTTGTAAGTCATGCAGCATCACTTCTGCCGCATTCTACTTTTGAGGCAGTCGGTCATCAAGTCCTGCCCAGGTTCAAGGGTAAGGCTAAATACTTGCTTGATGAGAAATGACAAGATTCTGGAAGATCATGGAGGACTGGAAATAATGTTGTGGTTATTTTTAGAAAACAAAATATTTTAGCTTGTCATTACTGGGCTAGCCGGGCTATGATTTTAACCGTTTTTGAAAATTAGGGTAACATTTGAATTCAGCAGTTTCATATTATATGACTCCCATTTTCTGTATCAGTATTTCTGAAACATTTCCAGAACAGTGCATATGTTTCTTCTATTAGCTCTTTCAGTCAAGGGATTTGATTCATCTGGTCCCAGAGCCCCAAGTTTGTTGGAATCTTCCAATTTCCTCACCTCTTTAGGGTTTCAAGTCTTTCAAATCAATATTTGTTCTGTCTTTTTCATGCTGATAATCATTCTCTTTGACAAATAAAATAGTTGTGCAATCTGTTCACACTCTGTCATCAATTAGCATAAAATTGTTCATCCCAGTTAGGAGGCTCTCTGTGTCAGAATACAATTTTAAAAGCTTTTTTTTGTTGTCCTTGAAATTTTTGCAAGCCTCAGCTCATTCTGGGTTTCGGTCTCCTGATTCTTCTTACCAAATTATGTCATCGTTCTCTGTCCTTGGTTATGTGGCTGTTCTTCCACCTTTTATATTTCTGTTGTTAAATCTGAGTTGATCAGAGTGGTATCTAGCTAGTATTAATATTTTTAATTTATTTGGAAATACTCCTTTCTTACTGTGACCATTTTCATTATGTAGGCAGAATTTTCTTTTGAGATCTTTTTAACCTCCTTATTTCTCTTTAAAGTGTTGAAGATATGGTTTGATTACGCTAAGTATTCTTTGTCTAAGCTAACATTCCAAAGTGAGTGTTAGCTTTCTTCAGAGATTCTTGTTATTTCCATTTTACCCACCAGTTCTCTCTTGAGCATGAGAACTAGGTCTAGAATAACAATGTTGGTTGTCCTTCAGTGGAAAGTTGATGATTCATAATTTAAAAAGAGGTTTGATGACAAAAAGTATTTCAGAACTACTGTGGATTAAGAACTATATACTAAATCTAGAAGATTGGATATAAACATTTGGGATAGGTAATTTATTAGGAAATAAGTGGTATGTTCAGTTTGGATATTTTGGGGCATATAATAAGGGAGGATTCAAGGATGACCATATATTATATGAAACTATGAAACTCAGGTTTTCTTCCATCAGTGTTATACCTGGAGAAACAGAGGGACCCAGTTGGTATTACAGTGATTACTTTCTTTTTTTTTTTTTTTTGAGATGGAGTCGTGCTCTGTCGCCCAGACTGGAGTGCAGTGGCATGATTATGCCAAACTCCGCCTCCTGGATTCAAGCAATTCTCTGCCTCAGCCTCCTGAGTAGCTGGGATTATAGGCATGCACCACCACGCCTGGCTAATTTTTGTATTTTTAGTAGAGATAGGGTTTCACCGTGTTGGCCAGGCTGGTTTTGAACACCTGACCTCACGATCTGCCCACCTCGCCTCTCAAAGTGCTGGGATTGCAGGTGTGAGCCACCGCGCCCGGCCTATAGTGATTACTTTCTAATTGTACCAACTGTATTTATTTATTTGCAGGCAAGATCTCTGTCTCTCTCTCCCCACCCCGGGCTGGAGTACAGTGGCACAGTCATAGCTCACTGCAACCTGGAGCTCCTGGCCTCAAGTGACCCTCTCACTTCAGTCTCCCAAGTAGCTGGGACCACAGGCCTCTGCCATCACACCCAGATTTTTTTTTTTTTTTTTTTGGTGAAGATGGAGGGTCTCGTTATGTTGCCTGGGTTGGTCTTGAACTCCTGAACTCAACACCCCCCGCCGCCTAGGCCTCCCAAAGTACTAGGATTATAGGTGTGAGCCACTACACTACCTCCAACTTTAATGAGTGTCTTTGACTCATGTTTCTCCTTGGGAAAGGAGTTTTGAGTTATAATCATGTTTTTTTCCTTAGCCCTATCAGTGATGCAGTCTGGTAAAGGTAGGGATCCTTCTCCGTAAATCTGTTTTCTTCTTTCTTTATTTTTTTTTAACCTAATCCTGATACAGTGTTTTGTTTTTTGTTTTTTCTCCTGGGTTCAAGCGATTTTCCTGCCTCAGCCTCCCGAGTAGCTGAGATTACAGGCATGCATCACCACACCCAGCTAATTTTGTATTTTCAGTAGAGATGGGGTTTCTTCATGTTCATCACGCTAATTGCGAACTCCTGACCTCAGGTGAGCCACTCGCCTCAGCCTCCCAAAGTGCTGGGATTATAGGCGTGAGCCACCGCACCTGGCCCAGATTTGTATTTTTAAAGTAAAAAGTAGAAACATGGCTGGGCACGGTGGCTCATACCTGTAATTCCAGTACTTTGGGAGGCTGAGGCAGGCAGATCACAAGGTCAGGAGTTCAAGACCAGCCTGGCTAAGATGGTGAAACCTCTTTACTAAAAATACAAAAATTAGGCGGACCTGGTGGCAGGTGCCTGTAATCCCAGCTACTCAGGAGACTGAGGCAGGAGAATCTCTTGAACCTGGGAGGCAGAGGTTGCAGTGAGCTGAGATCGTGGCACAGCACTCCAGCCTGGGCGACAGAGCAAGACTCTGTTCCCAGGGTAAAAAAAAATGAAAAGACAGGAACGCAAAAGCTGGTTTTTTTTGTTTTTTTTTTTAAAGAAAATATTACCTATTCAGGAGAATTGCTTGAACCTGGGAGGCGGAGGTTGCAGTGAGCTGAGATCGTGCCGCTCGCTGCCAGCCTGGGCAACAGAGTGAGAATCTGTATCCAGGAAAAAAAAAAAAAAGTGCCTGTTTCAGAATTAGTTTATATTTTTGCAAAGATAGACTCTCTACTATGGTGCTATCTTTTCCTTTTTAAAATTGTCTTTGTGTGTTTCTTTACAGTTGGTCTCTTCCCATGGCGATGTCCATCTGCCACCGTGGCACTGGTATTGCTTTGAGTGCAGGTATGTATATATGTTTTTACACACATACATGGGCTTCTTTGAAAAACTTGGCTGTTTCACTGGTCCTAGTCTCTGCTTCCTTTGAAACTCAGCACTTGATTTAGAGGGAACAATACATCTCTTTTAAGTTTATTGTTCCTTCATCCCTTTAACAATTAATTATGAGTTTACACTGTGCTCAGATTCTTTTTTTTTTTTTTTTTTTTTTGAGACAGTCTCGCTCTGTTGCCCAGGCTGGAGTGCAGTGGCACGATCTCAGCTCACTGCAACCTCTGCCTCCTGGGTTCAAGCAGTTCTCCTGCCTCAGCCTCCCGAGTAGCTGAGATTACAGGCGCGTGCTACCACGCTTGGCTAATTTTTTGTATTTTTAATGGAGACAGGGTTTCACCGTGTTAGCCAGGATGGTGTTGATCTGACCTCATGATCCACCCACCTCAGCCTTCCAAAGTGCTGGGATTACAGACATGAGCCACTGCGCCTAGCCCAGATTAGTTTCTTAGCAAATTTTTAAACCATTCCCTAGCACTTCTTGATATCGTATTTATTGAAATTATAGAGAGCAGAGAAATGTAATAGAGATGGGCTGGCTGACTGATCGTTGATGGAACACAGTCCAAGATAAATCATCAACCTTATTTTTCCAGAAGGTCAGTTTTAGCACCCATTCTTATCACCTAGACTTGCTCAGTCCCCCAAAGACTAGCTCACTGGCCAGTCTCACAAAATCTTGATTTACAGATCAGAATGTCCATTCATTCATTTATATAATATGAACTGCAGCTACAGAGTGAATTGTTTACTGGTCTTAGATAATTAGTACATCCTTTTTAGGTAGGAAGGTTTATTATGTGGAGTGCCAATTATAATCAGTTTTCTGGGATCTGGTGTATCTTTTCACAGTAGGGATATACTTTACAAGAGGGTCAGCCAGATTTAAAAATTATGTCTGGCTGGTGATGGAGACATAGACATTTTTGCTTTTTTATTTTTATAGATTTATTTTCTCACAAGAATATGCATGTAACATATTTTATTTTTACTTTCTTAGCTTTCCTTTATTTAGCCTTATAGCATACTTTGCTCTCCTACCCCCACCAAAACCAGAAACAAAAACTAGATTATGTTCCCTAGATACACACTCTCAAAGCATTCTAGTTTTTCTTTCATAATCATGGTTGTCATTTACTTGTTCATTGTTGTTCTTCCTTACTGGATTGTCTGTTCCCTGAGGGCTTAGACTGCATCTGTTTGTATTTTTAATCATCTAGTATGGTACCTAGAATGCAGTAGATAATTTAGTAAATATTTGGTGACTACAAAATGAATACCACTCTCTTTTTTGTTAATGTGTTTTATATATTTGTGTCCTAAATTTCTATTCTGTTTATAATCATACTTTCTGGCTCTAGAAGTATCTTATTTTGGTCCCCTGCATACTGACTGTAATAACTGCCTAACTAGTATTGTATTTCAACTGGCATTTCTGTGCAATGCTATTCAGTTCAGTGGGAGCAGAGGTTATCGGACATTAGAGTGTTGCATAGGTAAATCTGAGTTTGTTCTCTATTAGTCTCCATGAGACCTTGGGGGAACTTGTGTTCTCTCCCAGCAAAGGTGATCTAGCCCTTATATATCCACAGGAAGAACAGATGCAAACTAGGAATAGTGGAGTGCTTTCTAAAAGAAGTGCTCCAATGAACTGTTAGCACATATTCAACAAGACTTCTGTTCCAAGTTGATAGTCCTAGGACCTTTGCTGGCAAAGGAAAATGAGCTTATGACTTAGAACAGTGTGTAAATCCCTGCTGTGTGTACAAACTCTTCTCTCCTGTGGATAGTTCCCTGGTATGTCTGTTTTATTGTTTTTTTTTGAGACGGAGTTTCGCTCTTGTTGCCCAGGCTGGAGTGCAATGGCACAGTCTTGGCTCACTGCAGCCTCATGAGACCAGCCTCCCGGTTCAAACTATTCTCCTGCCTCAACCTCTCAAGTAGCTGGGATTACAGGCACCCACCACCATGCCCGGCTAATTTTTGTATTTTTGGTAGAGATGGGGTTTCTGAACTTCTGACCTCAGGTAATCCGCCCACCTCGGCCTCCCAAAGTGCTGGGATTACAGGCGTAAGCCACTGTGCCTAGCCCCTTAGTATGTCTTTAACCTCATCCTAGGGAATAAGAGGAAATATCTTGCCTAGAATCGGTATGAAATTATATACCTGAGAGACAGAAGCCCCACTGTTTTACCTTATGTAAAGCTCTGTCTGAGCCCCTCCATCTCGTCTCTTTTGGTACTTTAGCCTGGGAGCAATGCCTAAGTTTTATTCATCACATGAGGCATCATTACAGTCTTGCCAGGAGATGGCCCATTTGTACAGAGTAAAGCAGATGGCAGCCTTCGGGTCCCAGCGCGTAAGTGTGCTCTTGCTCCAGAAATTTGGTGCCAAATAGAGCTGTTGAGGTAGGAAAGGGAGTTTCTCTTGACTTTTGCTTTGTCAAAGCAGTGGTGGTATTGGAAAAGTGCTCTTGTTTCTGTCTTCTGAAACCCTGCAGGATCTCTCCTAGACTTCTGTAGACTTATGTTTTTAACTGACGTGGTCATCAGTAGGGCTAGTGGCTCTAGTGTAGGGATCCTGTATTTAAGGAGCTGCTGATGAGACATTGGCAGGAATTATCTGAATCTAAGTCTCTGCTATTTGCAATCTCATATATGTGTGTGTGTGTGTATATTTATATATGTCTATTTATAGACATATATATGTAGTTTTGTTGATAAGGATAGAGACTCCTATCTAAGATCTGATGGCATCATTTCTGTTCTTTTTCATTCTTTTGGTTGGTAAAGGGATGATGGAATCAAGGTATAAGGATGATTTGTGTTTTTAGGAATCCATATGTAGCTCCTGGTTTTTAACCTGCTGGCACTGAGCTGGTGGGGATAATAGGGAAAATCTCAAGATTAGGCTATTCTAACTATAGATTCATAATTATTTTTATTTCTGCTTACTTAGAATAAGAAATTTTTAGATTGATTAAGGAATTTCTAGATGGATGCTTTCTACTCAGTTTGGTGATATTGATGAACAGATTTAATCCTAAAAACCACTGAAAGAACAAGAGCAGTTTATTTATTAGGCTGTAGTTTCCCTTATTATCTCAATATATGTGTCACCACTAAATGAAAAAAAGGATATTGACTTTTTTATACACTATAATGATAAAAAATATATTCATCTGGGCCGGGCA